CTTCTAAACCTATCAAAGTTGACTTAAAGGAACTTCTTATCTGAGTAAAGGCTCCCTATTCTTTCTGTTTTAAAAAACGATTCATGGATGATATAGTCTTATCAAACCTGAGCAAATATGTTGAAGACGTAGAGGAACTTGGTGAACACGTAAACTGCAGACAGATACGATCCAGACTTTCTCATTTTCGACATCATTCCAGCTTCTAAAAATAATTAAACAATACAAGAAATTCTGTTTTTAGTAGCTCATAATGGGCTTCTTTTTGACGTATTTTTATAAAGTATAGCTTTTGTTTTACTCTATCATAAAAAAGCAGCCAGGTGGATGTTGTTCTACATGTGAAAAAGGTGTGAAGAAGATAGATGAAGAGGAATTTGAAAAGCTAATGCCTATGTTTCCAAGCTTCTCAGCCGCTCTTAGATGCGCTATCTTTAATTTACCTTTTGGCATCATATGGAATTCAAAATCATGTCAGTTGAGCAATAATTTGCAGTACACACTGAACTTATCAAACTCGTTAAAAGATGATCTTTACAAAAAAATCTAGCAAATATTTCTGAAATTGGCTATTTCTGCAGTTTTGTACTATAAAGTGATGCTTCTAGAAAACCGACTTCCCTTTGTTTTAGATAATTTCAGAATTTTTTCTATCTGAGCAAGTTTTCCCGTGGAATATCTATAGCTATTGGCCGGATCCAACTTACTTCCGGATTATGGCAAAATGATTCGAAAAACATTTCAAAGCGAATTCCACACATGTATATACATATAGAGATAGGGTAAACGTGGAAAAAATATGATTTTGAATAAAACCATAATTTTGCTCAGAAACCATACCTGATTTTAACTCCCTCTGCAGCTCAAGCGCCTCTTGAAGGTGAACAGCAGCTTTGAGAACCTTAACTTAGTTTTCCTGTTTTAACAAATCTTAGAAGTAGGATTGTCCCAACCTGGCTCTCTCGTTCCTTAACGGTAACATTCTTCTTAACCTTAGCAGTATTTTCCAGAACATCTTTAACGTTAATACCTGAAAACCACTTGCTAAGGTGAGATATGAAGTGATAAAGAAGAAAAAGGTGGAAATTACCCGTTGAACAGTTTAAAGCTTTCCAGACGATACATGGTAAGTAGAATAGAAAAGCTTGTAGCGCCAACATCAGTGGTACCCATTGGTAATAACCGATTACCTAAATGGGGAAATTTATAATCCTTCTCGTTATAAAGTCGCATTTTTACTTACAGCATTGTCTCTCTCAATAAAGTCTTCGTTGGGATGCTCGTCGTCCGGCAAGAAGTACGATCCCTTGATGAAACAGTAGGTCTCCGCATATCTGAACACTATGATGAGTCTTGAAAAATAAACAAAAATCTAAATACTCACTTCTCCCAGGCTCCGGTGAATTGCGCAGGCACCCAGCACTGTAAAAAATACTTTATGAAGAGAAAAAAACTAGTAACACAACTTCATTTTCTGTCTAAACATTGTCATCTGATGTGCATTTTGGTATGTTATTCATATCCTTTGCATGCTTCTCTCAAAGCATAAACATAGGAAGAAAACGTTTGTTGAAGTTATAAATGTTAACTTTGATTGAACAGTTGAGAAATGTGAGTGGGACAAAGCATTACAAACGAAAGATTCAAAAAATTAGTAGAAAAAGTTATTTCAATGGGACAGTCGTAGCTAACTAGGTGGAAAAGGACAAGAAAAGAGAGTTGAACCCCGATTTGCCTACGTCCCTAAGCAATTTAGCAATATTTACAGTATAAAATTTTAGTCCAAGCTTACTCGCAGCATAATTAAGGGAAACAAACACTGGAGAGATGATCTGGCTGACTTCATAGGCCTCATTGACCAAAAATGTATGCAGAGAATCATAAAAAATGGGAATATGGATGATATGCTAGAAGATATCTATTTGATAGTGACAACTTGGTAAGAAGAAGTTTTCACTGCGATTGAACGGATCAATCAAAATAAATGAAATCAATAGAACAGAAACTAAGTGTTGTTGATGAGCATTGTTCACAGAAATATTAAATCCTCTGAATGCTGTTTTTTTTTTGCTCAGTGCCTTGAATGTTAATATCTCTAGAATAGTGGACAAAAAACAAATCGAATCTTTTCCAAAAAATTGTCTTGCACAATGTTGTGTAAGTTGATCTCATGACATAAGCTTACTTTTGGAAGTTCATTTATTATTACATTTGCATTCAATTTTAAAAAATTCAATGGGAAAGTAGACTAATTCAATTTTGCACCACACCACCTTCACGATTTTTTAAATGAGACTTTACAGCTTATAGTAGGAAAAATTTCCGCTGTACGTAAAGTAGTCCCCAACAACTCTTCTTTTCTTCAAAACTTGTAGTAAGACTGCCAGATAAAAAGTTTCTAACAACCAATGTTAATATTTGTGGACTTCACCTACTTTAGAGACACCTGAGATAATATGATCAATTTTGCTAAAAAACTGTTCTCTTTAGAAGAATTTAGCATTCGTTTGAAAAAGTTGTCATAGACGTTCCTTGCAAATTCCTAATATCAAATCATAGATAATTGCCGTAGAGATTATTACGGTTTACCAAAACTTTCTAAAATTTTGCAATATTCAATTCAATCATCTCAGTCTTTTTTGATACAAAGAGACTATAATCTATACGCAGTATATGCAGATGAAGAATCGGCGCATAAGTTATGTCTGAAAGTACAGAAAGTTCATGGGTTTTTCATTTAGCATAACAGAAGAGGATCAGGTTCAAAACATTCCTAGTTTTTGAACTGATACGCAATGTTGGGTTAAAATTTGATCACCGATGAGCAAAAGAGACTGTAACTAAAAAGCAGAAGGAATTCTATATTTTACAAGTTGATTGATTGAGTAAATTGTGCCTTCGCTTATTTTATTGTTACCAAAGGAATTAGACAGTGCCTTAAGAACTAGTTTGCTCTTTTGCAAGGTGATGTGTTTGGTAAGCTGGGTTTCCATTGATTATCTTCCCTTTACTAGCAATTTAATGCTAAAGTCAAGAACTTTTAATGATATGAACATGAGATAGATGAGGTTGAACATGAGGTTTTTAGTTAAAGCAATGCTACTTCACGGATTCTGAGAGCACGATGCATACGTAGTTGAGTATTTTTCTATTCACAAACAAACTTTTATATAAAGAAAAAGGTTAGCAATGAAATATCCTCAGATTTTTGCACAGTTTTGAGCTCTCTACATTCTCTAGTTGAGTTCATGCCTACCTGTATCGGTTTTCCGACATATTGAGTTGCAGCCAGGGTGATAGCACCTAGAGCAACCAGCATAGCTGTATATTGGTAGTTTAATCGGTCGATGAGGTCATTCGACTGATACGACCTGAAAACAAGGCATTTCAAGACATTTAATCTTTGAAATCATCTAAAATCAATTTCATGCTAAGTGAATATTTGTTTTAGATTACTGTAACTGTGGGTTTTTTATACTGAATCCAATTCCCAGATGTTATATCAGCATTTTCTCGTTCCGCAAGTCATTTCATTCCATTGAAACTACAAAAACTTCTCGTCGTACCTGCGTATCTTACTGACATAAGGGACGATCGCTCCAATCATCCTTGATCAGAGAACCTTGAAAATCAAAAATAGTGTGATAAAATTGTGCAAAAGACTTCACTGTGGTTGTTTTGAGACAAACAAATGGCCACGACAAAAAATAGCGTACAAAGAGGATGAAAAAATGTAAATGATAAAATAAGATCTTGAGCTAGCCATGCTTTTCATATTCGTTTGCGTGAAATGCAAGCAACAATATAGCCAATGATTTGAAATATAGGAAAATCACATACGCGGCATTAACTGGACCTCATCGAAAACTGGTTGAGCAAAGGGCAGAGCCACTTTCTTTCTACGAAGATGATATCTCAATTGAACTTCTAGAACCTTCTGTGAGGTAAAAGGTAGTGAGGTGGAAATAGTCCGAATGTGCATGCGCAGTCGGACGCATCATTTCTCTGCCGTCACATCATGTAATCGCATTACAGATCACTACGGGTTGTGACAAAAATCGATCATCCGCATGCACACTTTCGATTACTGTATGTTACAGTATTTTACCAATTTATACTTTTGACCGGTGAGACAGGGTAACACCATGGTTCAATGCTGGCATAGCATTTTTGTGACTAAGCGAGACGTTTAGCATGACGAAGCGGGCTTACGGCGTCAGCACTACTGTTATAGCGGGTTACGTATTCAGGTCCACTTTGGGAATTCCTCTGTCATCTGTGAGCGCTGGAAAATTTTATAAGAGAGCATGAATATGGTAGAGGGGCGACATTGGCTCAAGAGTCGTTTAGTGCTGAAAGTAGGAGGAGAGATATATGAAAATACAGCAATCGAGAAAGAGTGAAGAGCAGTCCAGTATGAACTTAAACTGACAATGTTTTACTTGCTGTCGATTATGGAAAATGAGGAAAATATCGATTATTCGCGCAATGAAAGGCGAGAACCAGTTGTGGCCGACGACAGTACGAGATCGTGTGTCGCTCACTGCCGATGCCGTGTGTCTTATGCAGCCCCCGTATATGCAAATTCACTGTAGTAGAAAGCAATACATAGCAGGAGATGATTATGAACCGTATACGAAGGCTGCAGTTCAGCTGACTGCTGATGGTCGGCTCAATGTGATGAACGTTCTGTTATGTGATGTGTTCGATGATAAGTCTTGCGTCATTTTGCTTTGATATCTCGGAGTTTTTTCTACATCTCAGCGAGGTTTACACGACCGATGGACGATAGCATATGTGGTTCTTTTCGTTGTTGTACGCAGATATGAAAGAGGAAAAGATTGCAGAAACATGAAATGACAAAGGGCTGCCTGATACGAACCAATGAAGGCAAGAACTACGGTGAATCGTTCTCGCTTGATTAATTTACTATAAGAAAAAATACAATAAATCTTTAAAAATGCAAAAAAGGATACTTTCTACTTGCGCTTATCTGTACATATCTAGAAAATACATAAATAAACTATAAAATAAGATTTTGAGCCTAAGGAGACACGATGGAAAAACAACTTTTCTCGAAATCTAATACTAGAAGCCTGATCTATACTAAAAGTGTTGTAAATTATGGTCATTTGGGTTAATTCAAAAATTGTTGTAATCTATCAAAAAGATAGCTTTTCTCGAATAAAATATCACTTTTCATTGGAATCCTACAGAAATAATCGATACCAGTGAGAACATGAAAATGCCGTAGGAGGCCAATATCGTAAATTAGGCGTCTATGCATAGGGACGAAAACAGTGGCGTTTGTATCAGCCGTGACTCCACCTCATAAAGGTCGATTAAGAATGCAACCACCCTCATTAACGTCGTTCTTTGCTTTATTGATTGATATCTATTATGCGATAGGTATACGGTGATGGGAAAGGAGTGAATTCATGTTTATGGTATGGTATGTTTGACAGCAATACGCTCGTGAACATGTATATTTGACGTCGTCAAACATAGAGCCATAGTGAGACTAGAAGATATGGTATGGAAGGCCTGGAAAAAGAGCTACAAGCGGTAAAAACCTTGCAGTATTTGTAGAATAGAATAAAACAATAGAGAGATTGAAAACCTTTAGAAACGATAAGAAAAGGCAAGATTGTGAGTAGCCGAGAAACTGTCATGTTTGCCACCTATCTGAGGGCATGAATAGTGTAGTCCTAGACTCAGTGAAGAGATTAAGGTGCGAGGACCTCCTGTATGCGAAGAGAACTCACCCATACAAGGTCGAACGATAGTCGTAATTGACGATCTGGCAAGGCTGGTCACACGAGCGAATAAAAGGGCATGAGAGCGCAGAGAAGTGGGAGAGAAATTTTTGAGTGCAAATTCACAAGTTCGAGGGGGGTACTTCTTTAGAAGACATTGTGCGAGAACGTGGTGCCAACAGCTGCGTCGAAACTGTATCGATTTTTGTTAGAATAAATGAAAATGTCAGAAGAAGCACTGTTCACAAAGACATGTTCTGCATAGGAAACGGCTCTCAACGGACTAAAAAAGTACCTTACTTTTAGAGAAAAGTCGAGGATTCGAAGTATCATGGAAAAAATGACAAACAATGGTAAATGATCTTTTTCAAATTCGCAATATTCGATAGTAATGTTTATGTTTTGTTTTGCAAGAAAAACATCTAAACACGTATTCTGCTTTCTTGGATGACTGTCATGAATTTATGGCGCATACAGAAACCATTGCTTTGATCTCATTTTGTGGTAAACATGTTCAGGTCAACAGATAGAGCTTTGTAAGAGGTCTCCCCCCCTCTCCAAAACATGTTTTTTTAGCAGGTTAGTGGTAGGATAAATCATACAAGGTTAGCATTCCAAACGATGCCTTCCATAGACGGAGTGAGCAAACCGGTTAGAACTCGCAAAAGCGTGGGATCGGATCTCAGGATCACTAATGGAGTATTTACAGTATTGCCATTTTGAAACATATACCAACATATTTGAACAAAGCAGCATTCTATCTAGGGTACGCCTTAGCTATGGTGAGGGCGACGATGGCTCAGAGTTGACTGGATAGAAGTTATTCTTCTTTCCAAAAATCTATAAATTTCTAATTTTTTTCTCATCCAACTTTTTTGATAAAATGAATTATGGTTGGAAAAATTGAAGATAAAACTAGCTAACCACTTTGAAAAATTTTATGCTCTAAAATCCTTATCAAAACAGATTTTATACCCATACGGTTCATCTAGAGTCAAAAATTCAGATACATTCTACTTTATTTTATTTTGCCAGAAGATATTTTATGTTTATAAGGTTTAGTAAGCGAAAGGACTATTATGCTTATTTCGACTTGTCCTGTCATCAAGAGTAGTACCAGGTAATTAATTTTGCTTAGGGTTGAAAATATCTGACAGCATTATGTTTTGGTTCACTTGTTTCATTTTTGCCTTTACAGTCCTAATTTTAATACGTTTCTTCTTTTTTTTTTCTCATTCAAGAAATACCCTTTCTCGTTCTCTTTTCATGTAACCTTCTACCTTTTATATGCAACTATACTAGAACTTGAAGTTTACAGTTTTATACATTATGTTGTTGTTACTTGTGGCACTCCTTTCTCAACAATTATTAGGCCACCTCAATAAGTGCTGTAGGTTGATGGTTAGGTTAGAACAACTTGCTTGCAAACTCTGTAGGACTGGTACATAAAGTTTGCACGGAGTAAATGCCAGCGAACGATGAAAGGAAGAAGGAATAGAAACGCAAAAATTTAAGCGACCTTTGCATTATGTGTTCGAAAAAAATCAGTTCAGTTAGGAATTCCATGGAAGTGCATTGCTTCTTACAAGCTGCGTTTTCTTTTGCTTAATGACTACTTGTGCCTAAGGCATAAATATAGCTATTGTAAAAACCTACTCTTCTAATTTATATGAAAAGATTCATGTAGTTTTTTTTTCAGTCCTAAACATTTTGAAATTTAACCTTGAGTTAAAAATCACCTGTATGCAGAATCGCTTTAAATAAATCCCATAAACGTTCTATTCAGGCGCTCCAAGAACATCACCATTCTAGTACTGTAATGACAATAACGCATTACGAGTGGAGAAGCAAGATTAACGCTCAAGACTATAATACTATTGGGAACTTTGAAACTCATCAAATGGCTGCGAAAAGAAAAATAGTAAATTAAACATCGAACACATAAGGGTGCTATTTTCTTGCATAGTGGCAGGAGCTTCTCTCGAGTGCAAAACAGCCTTTAGGACCAATAAGTTCTCTATACCTCTCTTTCTTTAATCATCATTATTATTATTCTTTATTGTTCGTCATCATCTAGGCACTACAACTAATAACTGATATAGCCTGCACTCGATTTGATCCCGGGAGCTGGAAATGAGTTTCACAAATACTAGAAAGTTCTTGTGTGCAAAAGTAATTTCGAATGTTCATCTCTTCTGCAATATAGTGAGACTCATGGGTAGGGTGCTATTTTATTGATTTCACAGAAACGGAACTATGATGAATGGCTATAATCTTAAATAAAATTCTACTAGCTGCTAAGATTCTGTCAAGCTTTGCTCACTGAATGAAGACCATACAATTACTTCTACTTTCCATTAAAATGTTTTGC